TTCCTCAATAAAGTAATATGATCATTGTTAAATTAAGCAAAGGTATTCACCGAAAAATCACCGATATTTTTTGCGTTTGTTTGTTAGTGATTTAATAGAAATTGATCATGCTTTCTGTAAGCACCTTTTCTCCCCCATTAATTATCAGATATATCTTTCTTTATATAGTATTTAGATAGTATTTAGATTTTTTTTAAAGAATGATATTCAATATTTCACCTAACAGACACAATATTGTTATTTTGTCTGCTTATGTTTCAAGCAACAGACACTACGTGCCTCTTTAAGATATGTAAACTATTTTACTAACATTGCATGTGGTCGGATAGTGTTAATTATACAGAAACCGACTTTGTTAACGTTTAAAGGTATTAGTTATTTAAGCTTAGTACTAATGAAAACATGGTGATTGTAATATCTTGACTCAATGAACTAAATATTATCTTCAATTGTTGGTGATAAAAAAGTTGTCAGAGTTTGTAAATATTTATGAAATTCAATAATATTTGATACAAACTTTTGAAGTTTCTTTGATTAAAATTTCCATGCTGACAGATCTTGAGGCAAACGGCTTTAAAGAAACTACAAGAACAATCTGCAGAAAATTAATAATAAAGGCACATTTTGACTCAGAAATGAATATATTTTCTTTTTGTAGACAAGGCAAACATGTGCTTTATAATGTTGTAATTGATGGATTTTGAAGAAAAAGTGCTTAATGTGAAGCATTTCTTTACTATACAAAATCGCTTTAAATATAACTTTAAATAAAACACAAAAGAAGTGATTAAGATATCAGGTCAATGAGCAACTTTTTGAAACTGCAAAAGCACACCAAATTAAAAATCTTTTGAAAAGGAACATCATTGTCATTTTTGTGGTTCAAATGGCCTTAAGGTTAGGAATGTGCAATAATCAAATATTGATATACAATTTCCACTGCATTAGTTATAGAAAAGATATAATCATTTATTTTTTTTGAATTGATCTTTATATCAAGGAGGATTTTATATAATAACAAATGTTTGTTTTCCAATATCAAATTGTCCCTTTCAACCTCAATTTATTTGATCTAAATGCTACAGACACAATGCAGTTCATGACTGTCAAAATACTGTACTTAACTTTAGATACCGAAGTTGTAAATGTAAACAAAGTCGGTTCAATTACAACTGATATTGTCCAACCACATGCAATGTAGGGAAATTGTTAACACACGTAACGTGTGTTATTTGCCAAAAGGTAAACAAGACAACAGTGTTCCAATTGTTTGAAGAAAATGTTTTCTCATCATACATGGAAATACAATATGAAGAATAGAAATATTTGATGATGGAAAGGAAATATTGGAAGTTGCTGAGTCAGGGTAGTTATATGCAGAACAGAAAAGAACAAAATATATTGCGTTACACATAAACAATAGAGTTTCTATTGACTAACAAAGTAAATAAAAAATATAAAGATATTTGAACGTTACAAACATGATGAAAATCCATGTGATGAATGAACATATGATGTATAATGTGAAAATTGATGGATTCATGTTGTCTTATCGAAATCATGAGCAAATATAATTGCAGTGTGGCCGAGTGGTTAACGCATCTAACTAGTAATCTAAGGATTGCTCACCGCGTTGGTTCAAATTCTGACTGGGGCAAGCCGTTATTTCCTTCATCAAGAAACATTCATTGCTTAATACTGGTTGGTTCAAGTAACGGATTCGCGAGTGTTTCAATAAGCTTTAAGCTTCCAACACAATCGAACTAAAATATAATTGCAATGAAGTTATACAAAAAAGAAACCATCAAGACAATAAACATCAGATGTTGTTTTGTGTAAGCTACTTTATGACTAAATAATACTATCTTGAAAAATTTGACTGAACTAGATTTAAAACATAATATATTTAGGTAACATAAGTAGAACTGCAAGGTTTTACTATTTAACAAATTTACATTTGAGCGAACCCAAAATTCTTGTATCGAAGTACGTCATCAAAATACTATAACGAGTTTTATATGTTTCATAATATTTTAATTTCATTTAGATATGATCAATTACAGCTACATAAATAGCAATTGCATTGCTCTAAATAATTGATTTACGAGGTAAAATGCAAGTTGTTGACACACGCAATTGATAAAAATCATTTTTCAAAATGACTGAACACATGCTTTAATTGTTGTATTTGAGTAAGTGACAATATATTCATTTAATATTAAATAAAAATGAACGTAAAAATTCGTTAAATACCAAGTTGTATGTCGGAATAATTGATGCTTGGGATAACCAACCTTCATTTGCCCTGTTCTGAAAAGGTGCTGGATATTTTTTTTCTGGTGGTTGTATGTGATTTGATATTGTCAGGGCGCTGTGCACCGTGAATAATGTGCTCCCTAACGATCGTTACTCACTTTTTTTTTAAATTAGAGCACACTCCTCATGGAGTGATTTATCTTTATTGAATATTAAACTTAATGTTCTGTCTTCACTTTAATCAACCGTAAGTTTTTATCGTATTCGACATTCAGTCTGCTATGTTTGGAGGATGGTTTTGTGTTGAACGCAGTACCAAGTGCACTTTTATTTCTATACCGCTGTCGTTGAAAAATAAAAATGTCGAAAACATAATGTTTTAAAAAGAAATCAAGATCCAGTCCCACCATTTCAAATATTTAAAGTCATTAAAAAAAAGGAAATTTTTTAGGGGGGCCTTTTTGGGGAGAAATAAAAACGTGTGGCGTTGTAAATAAATGGGGGAATTCATACTTTAAATTAATAATTTTATTCAAGTTTTTTTGTAATGTAAATAACCCAGAAAAAATTAAACCTGGAAGCATTATCTCGCCTCTGCCATATCAATTCAAATGATATCATAACTCGTATCATATTATCTTAGTTGAATCTTATGCATTGGCATTTTATTTGCATATGAATAAATTTGCATATAAATAAAATTCGGCTTTTAATTTATATAAATTTCGTACATAGTTATTCTATACCCTAAACAGTATTGACTTGGAGTCAGATGTTAAAGGAAGGTATTTCGGAAAGAAGTTTTGTTTTGCGGTCATTTTTCTTTTGTAATTTCAAACGTCCAACATCTGCACCAATAGACCCTGCAAACGGAAAGTTTCTTTTTCATTTCAATGTTTGTCCGATGCTTAATGCATTGTCTTATTAAGCATATTTTGTCACTGAACATACTACAGTAACGTTACAGAAATACAGCTTTCATTCTGACGAAAATCAACAATGATATTGATTATGCCGAAAAGCTTATTTTATTCAAATATATCTTAAAAATCCTGTAATTTTAATGATTACATAATTATAATATGCACAAATATTTGCAGTACCTATATTACATATTCTCCGATGTTTGAAAATTGTTTTATTTGCATAATTATGTACATATATATAATTTCACTTAGTGTGGTTAACCACTTTGATCACAACATACAGGATCTTTATATCGAAAGCTTATAAAAAGCCCTAGAATCAAACATTTCAAACATATGTTTGATAACAAACTTGTTTAATTAAGACTTTTCTTCAAATTTTGAAAAAAAAAAACAACAGAAATATGAAAACTTTTACCAAACATACTGCTTGTGTTCATCGTAATAAAAATTCATTTGTAAAGTACCATTTCATTTAAAGTTACAGATGATTATTTCGAAATAAGTTACATAATAAAAAATTTAATTGATTTTAGATAGTAAAGAAAATATGCTAAGATATGTAACATTCCTTTGTTTCATATATATATTTCAAGTGCAAGTAGTATATCAATAATTAATCAGATATGAAAAGATAAGACAATCTAATATGATCTTGCATTCTTGCATCTCAAAACATAATGCATGCTTGATATACAAGATATAAATGTGGTATAAGTACAATTCACTGTGAGCAAACTTCAAGTAAAATGTTATGTGTCTGCTGTTTGTAAACATATCTGCAATCTTCAACAGAAACATAAAGTCTCAATGCATGCTGCTTCGCTTATAACTGCATTATAATGTGAACAAATGCATTTGCTCAAAGAAATTACAGCAACCTCCCGGAGGAAACAAAATTACCATTTACTGCACTTGGTATAATGCGCATTTCGGATTGTATTTTATTTGTTGCACTTCACAACCTGGGACAATTCGAGAAGAAGTTTGTATTTGAGGGAATGCAAAATATATAACTATAATTTCAGTGACATTCATAAGAGAATTTGTAAAGGTACAATGTACTATATTTTCATTTCTCTTTGAAGAGTATTCAAACAGACTAGAATCACTTGTCAACTACATTAAAATTAAGAGACGTGCGTTCAGAGCCAAAAAGGGGCAACCTTTATTTATTTTTTAACATTATTTATGTATCTCTAAGATCTATTATGGAAGAGGAAAGAGTTTGATTTTTATTATATAATTATTGTATATATTTATTTGCTAAAATACTAAATTTAATAACAAATATGATACCAGATATTTTCAAAGTTGAATAAAATAAAAACTACACGGCAAAATGTTTTTATATTTCGCATGATCAACCAATACATTGCTAAGAAAATTCAGGCAAACTTTGAAAGCAGCCCCTCATTGTGGTAAATTTGAGGGATATTTTGAATAAGGCTTTTTATATTATATAGTGAAATGGTCAAATAAGTGTTTAAAGTTTGTTGGTTAGGGTAACATTATTCAGAAATATATCCATCACCCAAAAACCACACGGTAAATTTTATTTAAATGTTGCATACAGGTGACCTTTAATACACACAACTGTCCTATGTTGTCAGTTTTACAGATTCTTATAGTGCCCATTACCCATCGTCTACCTTAAATAGTTGAATATTTATAAGATTGACTATTATAATGGTCACTGACCTAAAATAACAATCAGAAATGGTTGGAACAAAATACAAAACAATGCTTAAAATTTAAATAGTCAATGTGTATGACTGTATATGTATATATATATATATATATATATATATATATAGATAGTTTTCATGTGACGTCATGACTTCCCATCATCCGTTGCGCAGTCTACCGTGGCCGCCATTTTGATTGGCAAACAATACAGTTCCGTGGTTCAGTGAACGTACATGTAAACAATCTTAATTTAGAACAGAAATGGTAATTTCTTGTTGGGTTAATGGTTGCAGTAATCGTGCAGACCAAAAGTCGTAGCTTGGGATTTTATTCAATTCCATCTGTCAGAGAAAATGAAGGCGAATTTACGAAGAGTTTGACAGAAGAGCGACGAATACTGTGGATTTCTAACATAAATCGAAAAGATGCGCCGACGAAGTATTCTAAAATTTGCTCCGATCATTTCTTGAAAGGTTTGTCAAAAATATAAAATAATATAATTTAAAGCTTCGTGTTATTTATTTCTGCAAATATAAAATTATTGAGTAAAATAAAAAAGTAAATATAAGGTAAATCCGGAGCGGTATGTATCCATACAACAGTCGACCTAACGCAACGTCATCTTCGACTTCAACTAATGAACAATTCTATCTTACTTTAAATGCATATGAAAACATATTTCTCATGTTATTTTTGAAACTAAATTTATGAATATTTGACTGTTTCAGGAAAACCGGCATCTATGTACCATCGCTCAGATCCAGACTGGGCTCCTACTCTAAATTTAGATGGTGCTATGACTCCAACAAAATCAGTGTTGAAGAAAAAAAAGATTGAAACAGATAGTAAAAGGTAGGCCTAATTTAGAGTTCATTCATTTCAATTTAAATTACAACACACAGCTAAACATTGTCCAGTATCTTTTGAACTGGAGGGGGGGGGGGGTATTGTTTTTTATTTATATTTGTTATCTCACAATTTTTTTTCCACAAAAAAGGAAAATTATGATTACAATTTTTTTTTCATCATAACAACGGTATGAAATGTTTGCTATGTTAATATTAGAATTAATATACATCGTCAAATATATTCATTCTGTATTAACAGGTACAACAGAGCAGTTGACCGCCAGAAAAACAGAGATAAACATCACGTTGCCAGGGTTTTGTTGGAACTTCAGAGTGCAGAGTTTGTTTGCAACTCCATATATTCCAGAACAGGATACCCAGGGTTGACTCCATTCAATGAAGTAGAAATCAGAGACATGTACATTTACTTGGAAAGGGAAAACGGAAGGCCCTGGGAAGTCTTTACAACCATGTACGGAAAATGATAAAGAAAAATTAAATGAATTAGATAGTAGAATTAATTCTGAAATTCAGAGACTGTTGTCAGAGAATATGGCTTTAAAATCAGAACTGAACTCATTCTACATGAACCAAGAAAGTTTCAAAGAAGATAATGAGAAAGTAAAATATTATACAGGCCTTCCAAATTATTTGACTTTGATGGTGGTTATGGATTTAGTGTCACCATTTCTTAAAATGAAAAAGAATATGCGTCTTGGTGCATTTGAGAGAGTGTTGCTCACTCTTATGAGACTGAAACATAATTTCCCATTGAAAGATTTGGCTTATAGATTTAAGACTTCATCCTCCACAGTATCAAGAATATTTACTTTGGTTATACATATTATGTTTGTTAGAATGAAACATTTCATATATTGGCCAGAAAGAGAAGAACTGCAGACCACAATGCCTCTTGAGTTCCGCAAACATTTTGCTAGGAAAACATCTGTCATAATTGACTGCTTTGAAATATTTATAGCAAGACCAAAAGCTCTGCTGGCCCGGGCACAAACTTGGAGCAATTATAGGCACCATAATACTGTTAAGTTCCTGATAGGCATTACGCCCCAAGGCTCAATTTCCTATATTTCAAATGGATGGGGAGGAAGAGCATCTGACAAATACATTACAGAAGCCTGTGGAATATTAGACAATTTATTACCAGGGGACCTGGTCTTAGCTGACCGTGGCTTCGATATCGCGGATAGTGTTGGTGTTTATTGTGCGGAAGTAAATATACTAGCTTTACAAGGGGAAAATATCAACTTTCTGCTACTGATGTTGAAACAACCAGGAAAATCGCTCATGTGAGAATTCATGTGGAGCGAGTTATTGGATTAGTTCGAAATAAATATACAATCCTGCAGGACAAGATTCCTATAGACTTTTTAATTCATGAGAAAGATGAAGTACCAACAATAGACAAGATAGTTAATGTATGCTGTGCACTCACAAACATGAATGAGTCTGTGGTAGGGTTTGACTAGCTATGTATGAATAGTTGTAAAGGTTGGTACCAGCTGGTTGGTACGCTGAATACAAATGTATGTCTAAGTAAAATTGAAAAGTGTCGTAGTATCAATTAATAACATTAGATTTAAAACATCTTTTGTGTATAGGAAGATTGACACTTGTACTGTTTCCCACTTCTACAGTGCTCTAAAGTTAAATAGAATAAATAAAGAACATTTAAAGGAACTTACATGTAATTTATTTTTATGCATGTTTATTATTCTTTGAATAAAGAAGTAAAACTACTTTTTGTTATTAATAAATGTACACACATGCTATGAAACACTGTAAAGAAATACACAAGGATAGATATTAAAACAGTTATAATGAGTCCAAATATCCACTTTTCAATAGTGTTAACAACCAACATTTTTAAAGTTCACATTGCTGTCTACTTTTCACTTTAAACAATACTTAAAGTATAGTGTTTTCAAAGTCACATGAATTTTTTTCACATATGAATGATTGATACATTCCATGCAAAGCAATTTCTTTTCAAGTATAATACTAGTTACCAATTTGCTTTTCTGCATGATGGACAGTAATATGGCTGTTTGGGTTTCCTTTTTAATTTTACACATTTCAGATGTAATAATCAATAGGGACAATTTTCAGAGCAGCAAGCTGCAAAATTGGCTTCAAGACACTCAACATTACATAGACATTTTCTTTTGTCTTGGATTATAACACTGTCATTTGACTTGGGCTTTTTGGTCTGAATAACATCTTTGGATGTACTGGGGATATTTTGTAAGGGAGGCCTTTGGTCAATGTCAGATGAGACTGCTGTAGTGGATAGATTTTCATTGTTAAATAAAGTCTTTTTTTCTGATGCTTGTTTTCTAGACGACAAATTTCTGGTTATCAAACTACCCGTTATTTCTGGCAGAATAACCTGGATGAAGAACTCTTTTGATTTTGTTATAATTTCTGTTTCGGTATTTTCATTTAATTCAATCCTGATAACATCAATGTCCTGTTCACTCCAAACTACAAAGTCACAAAATTCTCTCTCAGTCACAATTAATTGAGTCTGTACCTGGTAAAAGTACCTATGGTTCTCTTTTAATTTTCCCTCTGACAAGTAATTTAACTTTGCTTCACTCAACTTTTTGCCCTTAGCACAGTAGGGACATTTAATCTCTACAACTCCCTCACCACAACAGTCGCATGAAACCAAGCCATCTGGACTGGCACCTATAAATGGATACTTGGGATTTATCCAGAGTCCACTTTGCTGAATTAATAAATTTGTATGTGTTTGTTTCATTACAGACTCATATTACTTCAGGGCATCTTTTTCATGTTTACATCCATACACTGTGGCATTGTTTTTGAATTTATTAACTCCACATACTGCATGTACTGTTGATATGGCTGGGTTTTCAACATCTCCAGCACATACTGCTTTCATATTTGAGGCAGTTATTCTTCCCATACGAAGTCGATGCCACTCTTTGGATTTGCTCTGCTCTTTTGTTAAGATTTCAACATTTTTGGCTTGTTGGTCTGTAACATTTATTGATTCAAAAATCTCAGCACATTTCTCACGCAGTTCTAATGCGTCCATTTTAATATATTGTTCATCTTTCAAATTAATTAATGGATCAGGGAGCTGCCCATCTCTGAGTATTTGGGGGATATATTGTTCTTGATAAGTCCTTGTAACTGCCAGTACAGATGCACGTGACCCTGCGCTATGAAGTTGCTGGAGTGAAAATTCTTTTTCCTCTTTGGTTGGTGCAGGGATCTCTGGCAGCTTTACTGTACCCCTAACCTCCACTTCCTCCCCTGTAAATAAGGTATCAAAGAGTAAATTGCCATTCAAAATGCAAAATCATGAAAATTCTAGTTCTTTCTAAGGAAGCTACAATCTATCTAGTGCTTTGATATAAAATGTAGGAAAATAATCTTCATTCCACAAGACTTTAAAGGTGCATGCCTCCAAGTGAAACAAAACCTTTTAAGAAAAGTAAAAATAATAAACATTAAAAGAAAGATTTTGAGTTATATGCATTGCAGGAGCTATTTTGCAGTATCTATCGCCATATTTTTATTGTGCGACTGAAGCAGTGATGTTTTTTTTTTTGATGATTTGGTAATTTACTTTATTTGAATGTGCCGATTGCAATGTGTAAATTACTTTCATTCTTCACACGATAATAAAATACAAATTCAAGATTTTCATATAAATTTTCATGAATCTGTGGGCGTGCTGCTTTAAAGTTCTCATTTATACAAGGGGCAGCATACTCAATCTAGTGCCATACTAGGGACAAACATCATGACATGACTATCAATATCATTTCTCACAGTGAAAACTTCTAAGGAATAAATTGACTTGATATTCTATAAGTAAGTAAGAAATAAATTATTGTTGGTTTATCCATTACAAGAAAAATGCAAATATGTAAATAAGAATATACTTTACCTTGGACTGCACAGTCAAGTTTCCTCTTCTTGGTAGCCACTGATGTAAAGTCAATATCACGTATCTGGCTGTACGGCACTTTGTCAACAGCTGCTGGCAGTGGCCAATATGCCTTATCTTCGGTTACAGTTCTTCTCATGTTCACTCTGTACGAAGATTCCAAGTGAAACAAAAGTGCACCCACATGGGTACATGTCTCACCTAGACCTGCTACACAATCACAGTGCGCAGCGTTGATAATTCCATCTTTGTTGGCGATAATCCATGGTCGGAGTGGGGGTGCATTCAATCTCTGTGAGTGAAGAACCTGAAATAAGATAGTAGGTATCTTTAAGCAGACATACAGATCATACATAAGTCTGAGATTTGAAAATATATGAGCCACGCCACGACAAAACCAACATAATCATAATGGGTTTGCAACCAGCATGGATCCAGACCAGCCTGCGCATCCGCACAGTCTGGTCTGGATCCATGCTGGTCGCAAACCCATTATGTTGGTTTTGTCGTGACGCGGCTCATATTTAGTCTTCCATTGTTCCAAATCCAATAAATGTCAGAAATCACAATATAAAAATTGCATGAAAAATGAAGATTCTGTTGTTGTTAAATGATAACATGTGTTGAACGTTGATCTTATGAATATTTACCAACTGTGTTAATCACAAGAACAAATCAATTAATATATGGCTTTAACTAAATGATTATTTACCTTTGCTATGACTAATACGTTGTCACCAACTGACATGCTCTGTACATCTCGAACCCATCCGCAACAGTGTTGGTTAACAGCTTCCAATGATTTGTATGCTTTTAGTTCTTCAAACGTATATGCACTCTTCGTGTTTATTAAATAATTTACAATGTCAATATATGTTACACCCGGGAGGCATTTCACATCCGAAGACAGGTCTTCTTTGCGTAAATCGTACGGATCTTGACCTCCGATCAATTCAAGTTTTTGATCATATCTACGTCTCGATACGCCATCCAGACAATCAATATACCTCTTCTTTTGTTGCTTATCACCCATATTTTCGATTTCTACTAAGATCGATCTTTATCTTATAAGTATTTTGCGTGAATTTTTGACAACTTACTTAATCTGACCGACGATGACCTTTGCCAATCAAAATGGCGGCGACAATAACATAGCGCGCACCTGCTCGGATTATGGGAACGGTCTATAAATTCTGGAAATGTTTTGAATAAAATGACTGTGGAAGTGTGCGTTTCGTGTAGATCTAATAAGGATTGAGAACACAACGAATTAACAGTATAATACAATGAATTAGCTTAATGGAAATTTATATAATGTTTGAGTTTAAACTTACGATTTCTCCTTCTAAACCCGTTGCCTTGCAACCTACGTGATCATTGCTGCACTGGTCTGGCATGGCACACATTTTGTCGACTTGTATACTTTCGCCGGTTCTATCGTTTATCATGTCGTTACATTGATTTCTGATGATAAAGTGCATGCCTGATAAACCTAGCTTTATCAGTCACCCCAAGCTTTATCAGACACCTTAACAAAAATATGCGAAATTTGCGAAATGAAATAAAAAGAATGGAATATATTTTCCTGCTACTGGGTTGGAAATATTTAACTGATAAACTTTGAATCCAATAGAAATTTTGAATATGAACGCGTCACTTACAATTAACTAAAACATCCGGGACTATTTCTTTTTGATTTGACATTTCACATATTATTGCGCGCAGTCTGAACACGAGAGGTTCTGGATAGGGTTTTGCTTCAATTAAAATAAAAAAAATCAATCAACAATTGAAATTGAAAACATGATAAATAGAATACCAAACAAGTGTCTAATATTATAAAATTTATCAGGCTCGGCACGAAAAAAAATGAAGAGCTCGGCACAGCCTCGCCCTTCTTTTTTTTCTTAGCCTTGCCTGATAAATTTTATAATATCAGACACTAGCATGGTATTCTCTATTTATACGACGCACAGTCTTGCATACCGTGTGTCCTAAAAATATATTAACAAGAACTTTCTGACAACAACAATATATGATAATGATTATATCATTTGTTAAAATTGTACAATGGTACTTTCTGAGATAATACGTTTGTCTTTTCTGAGATAATACGTTTGTCATGTATTGAAAAGCTATCATACAATCCACATTCTGAAATAAGTTCAGATGCAGTTTCTTAAACTTTGGGTGTTAAAAGTGACGTCATGCTTTTCTCGATGTCAAGTTGAAACGGAAAGGAGAAGAATTTCAAAAGACACGTTGCTTTCATTCTAATACTGTTTTAAAGGTGTTTTTTCTTTTAAAGAATATTTGAATTGCTCTGGGTATATTGTAAATTGTAACATTCTGAGAAATAAAATATGTTTAAACAAAACAGAAATATATTTCAAAAGACTGACTATTAATTATAATGGTGATAGATCAATACTTGATAATGATAAACGGTTATGATACAATATAGAAACTATCTAAATTATAAAAAAAACTGCACCACACTTTTAAAAAATTGAGCGTTACCAATACATTATGAACGATATTTATAGAATTTTTTATTGGACACATGAATTATTGTACATGTATTTCAGATTAAAAAAACATCAGGGTCTCTGTAACTTAACTGGTCTATGTATATAGTTTTAGCTCCGACTCTGCAGTACGCAGCCTACCTAGAATAAAGTAGTGGATCGCCAATAAGGATGCGATATTTGAGTCATTGCACGGGTTACAATATACATGTACTTACTGAATGGATATGGTATGTTAGGCGCCCAATTGTTGCATTGTTCGTTATCCTTCTTCATCGGGCACGTGTAACATGTCAACGCTGAAAAAAAAGATGAACATCATTGTTATTATTATCAGAGACGTTAAAATATGAGCTGTTTAAAAGCACTGTGTAGCAGTCAAGATTTTATTAAAATAATATGTTGTATTATGGCTACTTTTCAGCTTCGAAGAAAACTCCGATTCTGAACTTTTTCAGTCAAACATTATTTTTTACACGTGTGAGGCACTTCAGTTTTGTTATTGGGATTCATCACTAAACGTGAACATTAGGCAGTAGTCTTTCTCTTTCAGCATATTTTTTGCACATATTATTTTATACAGCAGATATGAAAGCAATATTTTCCCGATACTCCGCAATTTAAACTTAATCCAAATTGAACCTACATAAGGGGAAAATTGTATGCATTTTTACAAATAAATGATACATACCTTCAAAGTTCCGGTAGTCTATATGGATGTGTACTCCAAATGTCCCTGTCGTCATGACAACCAAAAGTGCCAAAGCAAAACTCACCAGGTAGGTCATTTTCTATAATCTGAAAAACAAAATGTGTGAATAAAACATATTTGACAAGAATGTCATACGTACGAGTTTTCCATCATAAATGATGCATGTTATGATGTTTATTTACTTAAGTGTATCAACTTAAAACTATTTTCAAAGACAGTGCAAGATTTTGATGAAAACTTTCAATGTGAGAGAAAAAATACCGAACAAAGAAACAAAATTACAAGAACCATTACGTGTACATTTACTTGAAAGTGTATAAACTAAAACTATTTCCGAGGCAATGTAAAATTTTAATGAACTTTCAATAGTTATACTAGGTGAGAGAGAGAGAAAAACTACCGAATAAAGAAATAAAACTACAAGAACCAGTGCATGTACATCAACTTAAAAGTGTATAAAGTAAAACTATTTCCGAGGCAATGCAAAATTTTAATGAAAACTTTCAATAGTAATACTAGGTGAGAGCAGAGACATAGATTATCTATGTCTCTGGTGAGAGAAAAAAACTACCGAATAAAGAAATGAAATAACAAGAGCCAAAGCCGAAAATAAAAAATAATTTCTTACCTTTAAAGGTGTTTTATCCTGAACTTAATCCAATCACGAGAAGCACAAGGTAAAGAATAAAGTTGTAAGTTAATGTATAAAGTTGTTTTAGTATATTAGATAAGTCCTGGCATGACAGCTTGTTCCAAAATAACAGTATGGCTTTGTATTTATTTATTTTGTTCTTATATACTTTATTTCTTTATCGTGTAATCATTGTTAAAAGTAACACTCTAAACACATTATTATCTAATTATCAAATAGATGGGTAACTACAAAGGGCAATGTGATGACGGTATCAGAGCACGTAATGGATGGTATTTCTTACGTCGGATATAATTGTCGGCAAAATTTACTGTCGGCAGAATCGTTAACTGATTGATCACATTCTTACACGTGATTGTTTGATGATAACACGTGAACGCATGTTTTCACGAGTTCGTTAATTCGTTCATATTATGTCTGTAACGGGTACGCTGATTTGATTATAGAAAAATAGTGATAAAGTAATAATAAATTTAAAGAGGTATTTTCATGATGGCCCTACATCTAATTTCATGAGTCGATTTCAAAAATTATATCTGTCACGGTTCAGAACTGTTCGCTATGTGTAGATTTAGTTTTGATATTAATTACAGAAACATTAATTTAAACATGGAGCTATATATAAGATTTAAAGCACAAATATAAAAAAAAATCATTGTATATAGCATAGTAAAATTAAAAAATTCACAAATTAAAGATATACTCGAAGGAGATTATTTCTACTGATTTTAAAGGAACTACACTGAGGTTCAAAAGCCCCAAAAATAAAAATTGAATTTCTTACATAGACTAGCTGACACAATTAGAACAGAAAGATGCAAACGATAATTAAGAAATATACTCAGAAATAAGTCGAAAGTCGTAATTTTGTGCTATTCTTAGCCCAATTTGAGTGAAAACTAAAAACCATTGCAGTCTCTTTAATATTAAAGACAAAAGTCTAGATATTTACTGACTAATAAAATCTGCTAATACATAATATTGATTTATTCAAAATTGAGTTAACTATTAAATTCAATAATGTTAACAGTGAATATATGGAACATTGATATATTCTATTTTTTTCCATATCATTTAAAAAAAAACATGGTATCATTTGTATATACAGTCGACGAAACGGACATACTGAAAATGTTTGTTATCCCCGAAGAAAATGACATTCGCATTCTATAGTGTTTATATTGCAAAATTTACAAATACGTTGGTAACTTCTGTATTGTCATAATAAACGGTCATATAAGAAATATGACAAATACAAAGAGGAAGAAAGACCAGTATAGGGGGACTAATAGACAACCATCAAAATATAACTGTGTAATAAGAAGATCTGATAGTTGTTAAATATACATATATTGTTATCACACATCCTGTAAGCAATCTTGTATTTTACGTATATTGATGAAATAATAGATAAATCCTATTATATAATGTACCATGATATATAGATAGCTAACTACATTGTATTATGTTGTAAAGACATTTTTTATCTTGTGATCAGGAACGGCCTGAGAACTTCCAAAATCTTTAGTTTTACCTATGATTTAGTGAAAGTTAATTAAAAAGATCTTTTTTACTGAATAAGTTAGAAGGGAATGGCCATTTATAGCAAAACAAAATAATCTGTTTTACAAGCACTACTAAGATTGAAAACAAAAACCACATAAACCACACAAGCTGAAAACATAAACCACATTAAAGTTAAGTTTGTTCATTAAGAGATAATAGTACATGGCATTTTATTTAAGATAAAAATATAGGTATTACACAGAACTAGAAATGTCTCCAAAGGACATGTGGGGGCATAAAAAGTAAATAAAAACATGAAATGTTTATTTTAAAGATTTTATTTAGGTAATTATGATGGAGGATGATATATCACAACACCAACGGTAAACTTTCACCTAATTTGTATTTTATATACTAGGACAGTCTAGAATAACTGTCGAATAATTCTCCGTAATTATTAAACCTAGTAACACATTCATACCTGCATATGGTTATTATTTTAAAAGGTTTCATCTTAATTCTTACATTGTAAAAAGTGATTGTATAAAAAGTACAGACCGAATTAAGTAAGCAAAAACAATTTTGACATACAATTCAACAAAACTGCAAACTGAAGTACAGTAGTAGATCTACTCATACATAAATATAAATACTTATCATATAAATCATGATAATGTAAATCCTATTACCATATACTACAGTAGTTTGACATTTATTGAACAATTTGTATATAACATAATCACCGTGTATATTAAGTATATAACGCCGGAATGTGAAAATAACGC